GGGAAAGGCAGTAGACAGGCTGGGAAACCTATGGCATGAAGTACCCCATATACAAATTATGAAAGATAGAAAAATACACAACTTTCTTAAAACTCTGTATATATATACTAGTACTTTTAGTATTTTACATGCAAAAAGTGTGATTTACCTCCAAAATTACTCCCAAACCTAAAAATATATTTTTATATATATAAAAAAAAAAATGACAGATTGTAAGTCACTTCATTAAATAGCAGACAAAGCATACATTTTCTCCTTTTCCCCATAATTAAGGTTTGCGTACCAAAAGTTTTAGCAGCCTGAATGGTTTCTTTGGATCCACGAACTGTCATGATTTGTGCCAAAGCAGTTAAATCATCACTTGCTTTGTAAAATGGATACCGTCCACTGAGCAGAGAAAGGAATACGATTCCTGCAGACCACATGTCAATTGCTGCAATTGAAAGCAAACTTAGTAATAACTAAACTCACGATTTCATCACAAGCAAAATAACAAACAAAATAACAACTTTCTTTAAAAAGAAATTATGACCTGAAAAGTTGTTATGTTCTGAATTACTTACTGACTTTGGTCACATAGATAACACTTCAGCAAACAGTAGAAATTACTATAATTAGATTGAAGAATAATTTCCTGCTTTGATGCAGAGGGAGTGTTTAAGCTTTTCCATAGAATTTTTCACGTGAGTAATTCTATTAACTTGCTAAACTTAAAATGTACCAAAACAATGTTAGAGGTTGTTTTACCCAGGGAGATAAGAGGGGGCAAAAACCTGGCTAGTTTTGATACTTATTTAAGTTTGCTTCATATGAAGAAAACCTTAAATAAAGATCATAAATAAAAAATAATTCACAAATGAATGCAAATCTGAATTTTTCTGGGACTGAGGCTGCTACAATTAGGCAGTACTAAAAAAATTTATCTTACTATGAACTCGGTCCCTCTCTAATATGAAATCACTTGACAAGATAGCCAGTTTAAGAACTGTAACAGTTAGAAGTTATTCATCACTTTCATTGTGTTATGAAGAGTACAGAGAGTACTCTGGGGATAGACGCCAAAGCATGATGGAAACTTTAATAGTGAAAGTTATGAGAATACCTGTCTGCCATAACTTTTTGGCTCACTAAGGTGCACATTTTGAGAGATGGCAAGGAAAGTGAAGCAGAGAGTTTGAAGGATTCCCAAACTCTAAAGAGAAAAATTAACAGCTGGGAAATAAAGCCATAGTTAGTCTACTTCTCTTCAAAAAAAATCAGTAGTAAAATAGGCAGTAATAATTTGGACATTTTAGTTAGAAACACCATTAGCATGGGACTCTGGGAAAAAAAAAAGTATTAAGTTGATTTCAGTTGCAAAACCAGCTTTTAAGTCTTTTATTAAAAAAAAAAAAATCCAAGTTAATCATTTGGCACAATTTACAGTGGAAAAATTTTGTACCTTCTTCATAGTTTTGTAAAAAAGTTTTAGTATTACTGTATCACTGTTGAAAAGATCATACTATCTGTTTGAGGTGTTGTGCATCACCCCAAGTGTGTGGTTGGGAAAGGTGGAGTTATCAAGCTCAAGACCTTTAAAGATGTTTAACTACTTAATTCTTGCTGAAATTAATAGACATTATATATCTGAATGGCTCGTAAATCCTGGCCCTACAATTCTGGTAGAGCTGGGATCATCAGCAGACTGCAAGATCCTGTGCAATGACATCAAAATCATGATTCCTCTCTATGCTTTTGTCTAGTGTTATCCAACTAGTGAGGCAGACCAAGGAAAGGGGAGCAGAGGGACAAACCAAGTTAAAGTGTAACGGGACCTGTATAACATTAGCTTGGGAGTTTAGATGTTTAGATGCACTGTGAACCTGGGTCAGATGCACTAAGGCAGCTCTGGATAGTGTCAGCTGGATCCAGCTGGTAACTTGGTCTCAGCACAGAGACCAGAACTAGTAGTAAGATTGGCAGGAATACAAGGAGGTGACTATAGCAGTCCCAGATGGAAGTGGACAAGAAGATTTGTTAGTTCAAATACAACATAATCTCATAAACATTAGTATTGGTCTACCCAGTTCTAATTAAGGCCTTTGTTGACGTACTACAGGAGCTCGGCACCACTGACTCAGTACTTTTAGTGCTGTCTGTGCCACACCCAAGGGTTTCCAGATTTACCCATATTTTCTGTAATCCTGCTCTCCATTACCCTAGAGAACAGAAAACCGTCTGAAAGCGTATTTAACACTAGCATGTGTCCAAGATTTCCTAGGTATGTCTTCTTTCTGCCTAAATTCTGTCTAGACAGATTCAGAGATTGTCTAAACTTGTCCTGGATTTCTGGATGTCTCCTAGCCCAAACAGCTGGCTGTTAACAGCACAGGCACAGTAACTCCAAACAGGCTGCCATACTTCTTGAAATCCCAGTCATATCCACAGCTCAGATGTTGTTTCAAATAACATTAAGCTATCTAGGGATAAGCTGATCAAATGTATTGTTAAGTCTATTCTGAGTGTGTATACACACTTTAAGTACTGAAAACTGACAATTTTCTCAAAAGATATTCAGCAAAAAAGTGGCTAAAAACTGTTATTTTAAATCCAATTTTTGAGGACATTTGTATTTATCCCCCTTTTTCATAAGTCAAAATCCTGGTCGTACACCAAATGTTTAACAGGTAACTTTGCTTTTATTGGTCCTCCATTCTTCAGGTATGCACAACCTCTCCCATCCTACTTGCATCAGCTAATGCAGTAACCATCCCTCTGCTCTGCCCTGATAGTTACCCAGACTACTGAAACTTATTGATAGTTTCTGACCCTGAGAAATTAAAAATTTAGTAAGAAAAAAATACGACTTTTACAGATGAGCTATTTAAAGCACTAGCAAAAAGGAAAAAATCTCATAAAAAAGTATTAACCAACACTTTCTAAAACACATTTGCAATTATACCATTAACTATGCCTGCTATGACAGCAAACTATGTGTGAGAATCTGTCTAGAAAAGTCTAAAGTATGTCCTCTCCCCAAGATTTATTCAAGATTTTACTTGAATAAATAAGCCAAGAAACTTGATAAAAATTACAGCTTTGTTTTCTTTTAAAACACATTGTATTCAACTCCTGCATATGGCACTACCCCTCAAATGAATAAAGACATATTCAAGTTTCAAACACAGGAAAAATATTCCTAACTTGTTCTTACTCTGAATAATAAACTTTTAATTAAAATCAGGAAATAGGTGTTAGAAGGGATGACAAAATGAATTTCACATGTAAACAAAAAAGACAACATAAGATGCATAAATGACAAGGATCAAAGGGTGAAAAAAGGCTAGAAGGATCAAAAGGTGAAAAAAGGCATTAGTCTGTTGTGCAGTACCTGTGGTCTGAGTGGGGCACTTTGTTAATACTTCTGGTGCTCTGAATCCAGGTGTTCCTGCCCTGGGAGCAACCTGCTGACACCTTGTAATAAGAGACAAAAATGTTTAGAATATAAAACTTGATAAATAAGTTCTAATTATAATAATGCTTAATATTATTTTTAGAATATACTTGTGTAAGATATGTAAACAGCCTAACCCTGCCTTATTCAAGTCTCATAGAAGTTTGAAGCATCTTCAAACTAGCATGAAATTATTATGTGGCATAAGATAACAGCCTTATTATAT